TTCCAACCCAAACCATTCTGTGGTTCTATGTATCGGCTTTGGAGCTATTCTCGGCTGTAACTGAAGCCTTGGGTACAATACTTTCCCGCCGATGTGCGAGATGCAACTTATGTTTCCTACATCGTGGGATGAATGAGCTGAAGAGATGTTTTGTACTAAGACGCTCAGAGGTGTGCAGCGTGGCAGCGTATCTCTGTGCCGGGGGTATCGTGGGCCTTTTCCGAGGAGCCAGAACTACCCCCGAGGTCTGAGGCAAGCCGTGCTGCAAGGAGCACAGCAAACTTCTTGGTTCCCACAGGAATCACTGTAACAGCACCCTGTCATAAGAGCAGCACTGGGAAGAAACATTATGGAAAGAAATTTGGTATAGGCAACAACAACAACCCAAGGAATCGAAGTCCGTACTGGTAGAGAAGGAAGCATTACTAAAATGGTTACGTATTTGAAAACAGATCTTGTTTCCACAGAAAGATGTGCTTAAGCATAGGGGAAAGGATATAGCATAGAAATAAGACAGTGCACATTTTATTGCAGACAGGTCACATTTTCATCAGTTAAATAAGGTAAAATGAGTAACTTCAGCCAGACAAATCCACTTATTGATAAAAGTAGTCTTATTTAAGGTGTAACAAAATTTTCCTGATAAGATGGTCTGATTGACTGAAGCTCATCCAGCTATCCTTTTTTTTACTGCACCAAAAATCAGATTTTTTTAAAAAATGAAAACCTTTGGTAAAATACAAACAGTTTTAAGACGAACAAGATCAATGTTCTATTCTTACTGTGTTGGGAAAAATACGTACAGCTCTATAACTGCTGTGATACCTAGAAGAGGATTAATTAAAGTGAAAGAATTTTAAAATAAACTTTTAAAGCAAATCTAAAAGAAATAAACTAAGTTCAATGTCCCAAACATATTTAACAATGAGCAGAAGACTGGTTGTTCCACAGGTATACTAATTTAGCGACAATGAATTAGTCCGCACATCCTTTGTCCAGCCATTACAGATTCCAAAATGGAATGTAATTTTTTTCAAACCAAGACTTCTGAATTTTCATATCCATACAATATTTAAGAAATGTCTATTCCACCATATAAAAAAAGCTTTAATGTACTAAAAAGTTAAAAACAAAAAGAAAATGACACAAGCTAAAAGTAGAAAAATACATTGTAAAACATTTATATTTTGTTCCTTACACTGATTGAGATATAACAAAATATTTTAGTTTAGACCACTTTCATAAATTCATGGCATTTTCAGAAGCAGTTATCGACTCAGTCACTGGTTACCCACTAGCCAGCATCCAGTGAAGATGTCTGACCACCGCAAACATCCAGTATATTTTCAGTTTCTAGAAATCCTGTGTAGACATTAAGCTTTATGATTACTAGAAGAGTCCAAAAATAACAGAACTATTCTAAGTTAGGTTTGACAGTCAGTTAGCATCCCTCCTCTGTATAGCAACCAGCCAATCTTTTGTAAGGAAAGCCCCTGTGGATTTAGGTTGCCCCAAAGGTACAGCAAGGACCTGTGTCAGCTCTGAGATGAAGGGGACAGTCCTAGCATGCTCTTCCACTTTTGTTGCCTTCTCGCTTACACCCCTAAAATTTCCATGAACCATGATATTGAAAAAACAGAGATGATGGGAAAAAAAAATTTGAAAGAGAGGTATTATCTAATAAATATCGAAAAAGAATAGTTTTACACATAATGGTGCTGAACCTAGTTTTAAGCCCTTCTTGTCCTGTTTCTCTTTCCCATACAAGCACACGTCCGTGCTGCAGGCAGGCCTGCCTCTCACCAGCGGGTGGTGCTGATCTCACAGCAATGACGGCAACACCCTCCAATCTCGCCTCCTTAGGCTTTAGGAAAAAAAAAAAAAAAAAAAAAAGAATAGTTTCATTTGGAAAATGTATTTGCAGCATCTCCCTAACATTGTTACCACCAGAGTAGGAAACCTCTACTTTTATAGAGCTTGTCTGGATTAGACATAAGGTTGCAAATATGGTGTAAATAAGTTAGTGGAAGGTCTGTATGTAATGGTAGAAGATCGTATGGCTATGAAGAAACACTTTCTTTAAACTGGTATTAGAAGAAAACCAGATTCCACTTCAAATAGACATGTCTGTTACTATTAAAATCTAATTTGTACACATGCATGTATAAATACATCCACCCATGCATTCAAACCCAAGTATGTAGCACTGCCATTGGTAGCCTAGAGGACTGCTTAGATTTATACCAACTGAAACAAATTTGTGTTCTCTTTAGGGCTGGGACATAAACCAGGTTTTACTCTCTGGCTTTCTCCTGACAAATTTGGCACTGCATGACAGTTTTATGTCTAACTCCAGATGCCACGTTTCCTAGAAAGCAACAATCTTCTGCACCCGTGAGGTCTATGAGAATATCAGCTCTCTGTTTTGTGCACAACACATTGCAAGAGTCAATTGTCCCAATTGGCACTTAAGACTGAAAGGAGAGTCACGGGAATTGCTACTAAAGTGTAATGACTGTTCCATCCTCCTCGATACCTCCTCTGGGGATAACCAGACTGTGTCGGGGATCAGTTTTTAAGGAACTGAGTAATTTGTGGATGTTGCCGTTGCTTTCTCGGCCAGAGTTGTTGTTGAGCACCAGGTCCCTTTGAAGTCTGTGGCTAAGGCTGCTGCCGTTGATACGAGAAAGGCTACTGGAAGTAAGGCTGTGCAGTTTGGGAATGTGCTGTGGCTCCAGACCGCCCTCGATGACAATGTCAGCCTCTTCATCACTCTCCATTTCATCTGGGTGGAAGTTCTGCAGCACGTGGGATGTAGGCAAGCTATGGTGACTAGCAGTGCTGTCTGTAGACTGGCCAGAGCTACCAGACATCCTACTGCTTCGAATAATATTGTTCCTCTGGTTTGCTGGCTTGACTGTGATAATAAGATTATGGCTGTTGGCAATCATCATGTCTGTGACTTGGTCGAGAGTCTTTCCTGCTACTTCAATGCCATTAACTTCCAGGACTTCATCATTCACGGCCAGCAAGCCTGTGCTCTCTGCTAAGCCTCCAGGAACCATACGAGAGATGAAGATACCGGGTACTTTTTCTAGTCCGTGGGGAGTAACCCTTACGCTGGTGCCATCGCGAATGTAAAATCCTAAGGGTTTCTCACACCCGTGTCGATACAGCCTCACTCTCCTGTGTGTTTCAGGAAGAATGTCCACATCGATTATGGAAGACACTGGTCTAAAATCATGAGGCATACTAATGTTAATGTGAGGGCGCCGGCGGAGGTTGTCGTTGCGGAGTGTCACCAGGGCCTTCTTCTTCCTTGATAGCGTGTTGGTCCCAAAATTACTGTAGTCCACTTCATCTGAAAGAGAAACAGTACCAATGTATCAAACAGAGAATAATTCGATATACAGAGGATTTTCTTCTTAAATCTGGTTCAAAGAAGCCGCACTCCTAATAATATGGAAAAAATCAAATGAGTTATAGAATCATACAATCACTTAGCTTGGAAAAGACCATTAGGATCCTCAAGTACAACTGCAAACCCAACACTGCCAAATCCTCCGTTAAACCACGTCCCTAAGCACCACATCTACTCCTCTTTTAAATACCTCCAGGGATGGTGACTCCACCACTTCCCTGGGCAGCCTGTTCCAATGATTGACAACCCTTTTGGTGAAGAAATTTTTCCTAACATCCAGTCTAAACCTCCCCGGCACAACCTGAGGCCGTTTGCTCTTGTAGTATTGCTTGTTACTAGGGAGAGGAGACCAACACCCACCTGGCTACAACCTCCTTTGAGGTAGTTGTAGACAGTGATAAGGTCTCCCCTCAGCCTCTTTTTCTCCAGGCTAAACAACCCCAGTTCCCTCAGCCGCTCCTCATAAGACTTGTGCTCTACACCCTTCACCAGCTTTGCTGCTCACTTTTGCTTACTCTAACTCTTGTTTCATTTTATGTCCATCAGCACATCATTCAGAATAAATGAGTTGTTTTCAATGACTACCCATATTTCTTCCATATTTTGAGGGGAAAAAGACTTCTGATTCCCAACTCCTGTTGTCAGCTGTGCAGAATGCAATTACTTGCAGCTGCAGGCCTGATACACCATCTTAGATGTGAGACTGTATTTCCAGAGTTGGATTGTAATTTTACACATACATCTCAAGTGGCAAGGAGTGTATGCACTTTCCTAACCTAAAAGTCTGAATAGAGGAGTATTTTAATATTCAATACAGCCTTAACTTACAGCAGACCTTAGGTACATACATGAAAGCAGGGCGTGAGAGAGTAGTTAGATGTGTTTTTAGCCAAGTCTTTTTAAGTAAGGAATTTATGTTAATATGCACCTCTCAGTACACCACTTTCCTCTCTGGAATATTTTACTTTATTTCAGCTGAATTTGACAGCAATAAAAAGTGCTAAAAGCACCAAGTACCAAAAAAGTTCTGTGCAAGCAAGTGGCCTGGTAGAAAGAGAAGCAGGGAGAAAGAAACTGCTCTGCGCTGCCTAGTCCATATGCTAAGGATCACAGAAGAGATGCGGACTCACACACTCCTGCCCTTGAGAGGAAGGCCCATAGGAAAGCAGCCTTTGTAGGGTCTACTGTTTAAGGAACTGTTTAAATATTTCACTTTCTGTAGCAGTACCTGAAGGGTATGTGCAAAGTGATGAACTTTAAATCAGCCAAATAATATGACCAGTTATTCATGTAAGAAGCTCATGTTGTGCTTTGCATAAAAAATACTTAGTCATGAAGTTGCCAGTGTACAAAATGCGTCACTGCATTTCACATTAAAAATACTGTGCATATTTTAAACATGAAGCATGCACTAGCTGAAAAATTATTTCATTGGGAGTTTAAGCATGCTAACACTTTTCAGATAAACTAATAGACTTTCAGTTTATTCTACTGTTGAAGATGAGCAATAAAGTACAAAAGCACAATTACAGAACTGCCACTGAGAAAATTTTCTCTCCAACAAATTAACCCTGCAGAGTAAAGCTTGAGAAAGTAAAACAATACGTCTACCTGACAAAGGTTGAAAAAAAAAAAGTGTTAGTAAAAACAAGCTTATAGTTACATTTTTATTTCTTGCAAGGACTCATATTCGAGTCAGCTTTCAACGCATATTATTGGCAGACTTTAAGTGACATGAAGTTACACAACTCAAAGGACACAAAAAAAAAAAAGTGCTAAGCAGCAAGCTGATCTAACTGAGCCTGCTTAGAGCAGGGTGTTAGATTAGCTGGCCTCCAGGGGTCCCTTCCAGCCTAAATTATTCTGTGATCCTACATAGTCCTTTGAGTTGGGGGCGGGGGGGAAATCATTTGAAGACTTCAGAAAGACTATTTCTTCATTCTCCTAAAACTTATTTACATTGGCTATACTAACACTGAGGATATCACAAGGCACCTAGAAGGTCATCCTGAGGGAAAAGTTTCTGTGAAATAAAGATACTCCTCGTCCATGTTTGCCATGTTTAACTTCACACTGGTCTCTCCTGTCTCCTCCCAGGATGTTCAGAGCCGTGCCAACTGCACAGGCCCTACTGTGTTATTTACACTGTTGAGGCACAGGACTGGAAGTCCTTAAAATCACCCAACGCGAGAAGCTCCCAACTGGTTCCTGGAAGCATATTCACAGCCAAGCAGTGACTGTGTGGAGATGGCACCTTCTTAAGTCCACCTGGTGAGCGGAGGCAGTGAAGTATCTACTTTTTTGAATGCACAAGCCACCTGCAGCAGCCAAAGCCTGGTATTATTCCTTTTTTCCCTCCATCAATAGGATCACCACCTACATTCACATAGACTTTAAGTTTTAATGGATGATTTTGATGGTTGGCAGCAAATATTTTTTTCTTGTAAAGTATGGGTCCACAAGAGATGTCTTTCATCAACACTATGCTCTGCTCACCCTCACAATTCACTGATCAGTTTCTGTGACAGCCCTATGAAAACAACTTGGGGATTTACATTTAGAATCAAAATTCTTCCTCTCTTGAAACACAGCACTGTAGAATAGCAGCGCTGTACCTTAAAGCCCAAGACAACCTTTATCCCAAAATTTCAGTTTAAGATGGCAATTAAAATTTCACGTGGGTTTATGTGTTTAAGATTGTCTCTGGCAGTACTGGCAAACCAAACTCAAAACAAAGCTGCATCCCTTAAAGATTCAGAAAATCAGATTGGCGAGTGCAGCTTATCGCACTGCAGGTAAAATGAAACACATGCCCTAGTTATCCACCTATTCCCTGAAAGCACCCAGGTAACTGTTCTCTCCCTCTCTATGTTAGTATAGTAATACTGAATTACTTTAAGGCAGACCTGCAAAAAGCTTTACGAAATAATTCACCTGGGAAGATTTGTTGACAGCACTGTTTTCTTCCCCTTAAATTAAAAACAGCCCAGAGAGTTAATTCTCACAACATGCAAGTTAGTGATGATCAAGTAGTAATGTCACAGGAGAAGTACAATGGTCCTCCTAACACACAGAGGTCATTTCTGAAGCAGCTTCCTTTGGCTGAACCACCACCAGGGCAACAGCACAGAAGAAGCGGTGGTTTAGTGCCCGTGACCTCCTCACCTGCGCTCAGCCCACTGATCCGTCTCCCCAGATGATTGCCAGCATTCCTAACCTCTGAGCAGCTTCAAAACAACCACCTCCTTAATAACAAAAAGCCCAAGCTCACCACAAAAATGCTTTTTCCTCCAAACACGTACCAGATAGAAGCAGGGATTACATTACAAGTTATATAGGCTACTTTCAGTGTTGGATTGTTGACCATTCTTGGATTTAGTATTTCAGGGCTGGAGCAGGATAAAATTGAAGTCCATGTCCTGTTGATGACTAGATTTTTTTTGTTTTTAAAACAGTGTTTCTACTGTTTTCAACTCTGACCCTAAACAGGATTATGTATGAGAAAGATGAAGTCCCGATTTTAACAGGCAAAACTGTTAAGACCTATTATAGATTTGAGAAATGAGAACTAATTTAAGACTTCTAAAAAAAAATACCAATTAACTCTATTTTCTAGAAAAAGTTAATGTACAGAATGCACGTTCCTTGACAATACAGGGATTATCACATCACATTACATGTATTTAAGATGACCTGCTCATTAGCAGTTACACTTGATTGGGATTTCACCTTAGAATAAAAAATTAAAATAAACCCAGAGCAAAACATCCACACCCCCCTTGTTATTCAGAGCCACTACTCTTGCTGCAGGAATAAAACAAAGTATCTCTACTGAAGTTTAACACCAGTTGTTGCTGTAGCAGCAGAAAGTCACTGATCCCTACCACAATAAAAAAAATTTTCCTTCCTCATGAGGGAACCAGGAGAAGTCAGCCAGTATCACTCCCTTTTATCAGCTATGGGGTAATCAAACAGTGGTGTTGTACCTATTTCCAGTAATACATGGTTCAGGTGGCACAGATCAAACTGAAATGAAAACTGTATCATTGCATAATTTACAGCGACACACTTTGATGGAAGGTCAGTAATTTGTTCTTCCGTTTTGAGTTTCTTCACCAT